ACTGTGATTGTCAAAGATTCATATTTTAATACCAAACATGTGCCGCTATAACTTATGATAACAGCGACTGGAGCAGGCAAGAAACTGAACTGAGAAAAATGCCAAGCCCCGGTGGGAATGTGGGACTCTTAAAAGAGAAAAATGGGAATATTTTGCTAGAAGGTCTAATGATACAGATGAGTCAGCCAAAGAGCGGTATAGAGCAGTGCACAATAAAACTGAGATATGCTATACCTATATTAGCTAGCCAAAGGATGATATATTACTTTCTGGTTCTACACTTGAATAGCTTTTTTTTTTTTTATATATATAAATGCATGTTCTTTTATGTACATCATGGTTTCTTTGCTGGGACCAAAGTCAGATGATGAGCTGGAACTGTTACTGAAAGTATACGTAGAGGACAGATTTTCAGTGCTTGGAAAGAAAATATCATGACATTTTAAAGCTGTATGGGGAATATTATCCACTGCCAGAAAAAACATGGCAATGTGGAAAAAATACCCAGACAAAAAGAAAAAAAATACAGATATTTGCTTCATCTTTCAAAACCTCTTAGTTTCTGCAAATCCAGGCAAATCCAGCGTTTTCTTTGTGTTGTGTCATAAGCATTTTCAAAACTTCCACCAGGTATAAACTTACACTATGTACACAAAAACACTGGGCCACCTACATATTGCCCCTCCAGGAGTTTTTGTGCTGATATTAATGCCAGAGGAGGTTTGTAACTCTGTAGTTATTGAGTCAGCAGAGCGTTGGAGACTTTTACAGATTCTGCTCCTTAGCACTTGATGATCTTGCACTGTAACTTTCCATTGTTTGCCATTTCATTGCTGAGTTGCTGTTGAGTTTCTGTGGTTCCTAAACTTTGCAATAATACCACTAACAGCTGCTTGTGGAATATCTAGAGGGAAGAGATATCACAAACTAACTTGTTTTAACATTGGGCTCTTATCAAACTTAATGAGCTCTTTAGGACAACCCATTCTTTCACAATTTGATGAGAAATTTGATGTATGTGATTTTCCACACCTGCAGCAAAGGGACTGAAAACACCTGAATTCAAAGACTAAGAGCTTTTCTCCAAATAATGTAGCAAAAGCTACACGGGTTGATATTAAAATGTATTTGTATGGGCATTCCCTAAGATAAAATTTACTGATTATAGATTCTTGCTCGCACGAGTGTCTGTTCCATTGTCTACTTTGCATTGAAGATTTGTTGGCAGAAGTGTGCAATAAAGTGATATGAACTGCTGACACTTCACTTCCCAAAGGTTCAAGATTGTGTGACAACAACTCCTTTCAAACCTTTTACTTTTTTTCCTCACATGCATTTGTGAAATTATGGTGTTAAAGCATGAAAAAAAGAAAAGAGAGCTACGACCCAAGCATGCACTGCATAGTCACCACTGACTGACGGATTTACTATATACGTAGCAATCAAAGCCAAGTTCACACATTTTATACTCACCTTTGAAAACGTAATGAGTCTTTGAAGTCTCTACAGAAAACAGTCAATTCTCTCAACTTAATCTAAACCTAGTTAGCGTTCCCTCTGGCTCCAGGCCATATGGAGGTCTTTTATAAACAAGAAAAATAATGATAATGTTTGGTTGAGCGCAGACAGCCAGTCAGCCCAGCACTCTCACTCCAGAGACCCAATTAATACAACTGTAAACCAATGCTGCCCTTCATAGGCAACAACAGCCAGAACTGTGTGTGTGTGTGTGCGTGTGTGTGCGTGCGCGTGTGCGCGTGTGCGTGTGCGTGTGTGTGTGTGTGTGTGTGTGTGAGAGAGAGAGAGAGAGAGAGAGAGAGAGAGAGAGAGAGAGAGAGAGAGAGGGAGAGGGAGAGAGCCGGAGAAAGAGAGATGGAGAAAGATGTGAGTATCACAGGGTGAAGACGTGATGGAATACAGCATCCCAACCATGGCTGCCCTCCCTGAGCACTGATCGATAATTGTAGACAGAAATCATCTTCAGATCACTGGCCAACCAACCAATCATGACCAAAAACATAACTGCCATAAATGTCATGTTTGTCCTGCATTTCAAAGGCATCCAGGCCAAGTACAGTTGTTGAGAACAGAGGAGGTTATGTGAAGACCAGTTCAACAGCATGCAAACACCTGTAAAATGTAACTGAAGTCATGTCTGATACAACACAATAATAAACATTTTTTAGATTAAATGTTCTTTTAGAATGAAAAATTGAATGAATGTTAAGGCTTTCTTTGTACAAAAACACACATTTGAAGAGTTATAAAAGCAAACGATTAGGCAAATTCATTAGCCATAAATTAAAATTATCATAAGTGACCCCCTGATGCTAACGTTGTGGTTTCATGTAAACACATTTCTCTTTTAAATTACTCAACGCTGGAAACTTCCAATTAACTGAACACCTGCCACAGTAACTGACAGCCAAGACAGGAAACCTCAGCTAACCACTGGCCAATAATTCATAAGAAAAAAATCATTTAAATGCAGCTTAACTTCAAGACAGCTTAACCTGACTGCGAAGTTCTTCGACGGACGGCTGTCGCTCGCATTGCAAACTTGTGCAACTCAAACGCAAAAAAGAGGGCAAAGATTTTCGAAACCAAGTTTTTTTTCTCACGCTTTCTAATTTTTTTTTTCCTTTTTGTTCCTACCTTTTCCACCGAGCGCGCAGGAGTGGCCCCAGATAAGCCAAAACAGCAGAAATGGGACCCCGAGTGTGTGCATGTTTGTCGAGCCGTGAAGGAGATGTCTCTGCGTCCTGTCCTCTTCCAAATATCCTCGCTCACCTCCCGAGCGCGTGGATGTTCTCAGCTGGCCGGCCGCGCGACAGATAGTCGGCAGGTCGAGAGACAGTCAGTGTTAATGTAAGCAAAGAGGGAGAGAGAGGCTGGCGTTTAAATAGCGTCAACGCACCAACACTTCCGGGAGTTTCTTTTCAAAATAGAATAAAGCAACCGACTGTAAAGGTTGAAGCATTTCAAATACTACAACAGCATTGTAATTACATGGAGTAGAAATTCTTTTTTAGACAACATTTCCTTTATTGCACGGATCTAAAAATAGATTTGCGAAAATTTTGAAAAATTGCACGCTTTTATGTTGAAAAAAAAACCCAGTTTGGCTTTTATTTGACAAACTTGACAAAACAAAATGTTTCTCAGAGAGAAGGAGCAGGAGATGTGAAGGGAGGGATGCAGGGAGGATCTGTCTGAGAAGAGTGTCAATGTGTTAGTATTTTAGTGTCAAGACAGGGTGAGGATTGATAATGAAACCCCTGGAGCAATCTGCCAGTGACTAATGCAATGTAAATGTAACATCATGTTTCCAGGCTCACTGGAGTGTCAGTTGCCACACCTTGCTGCTGACCATTTAAGTGTTTAGATTAGTGAGCAACCACGAGCATCTTTGAGTGAGGTCATTAGCAGTTACCCTCCCTTAATCATCTCAGTTATCTTAGATATGCTACATCTGGGAAATGTATGTTAATTAAGAAGTAAAGTGCATTTTCTTAGAGCTATAATCGAATGAAGCAGCTGCCACAGTGAGATGTTTTTCCAGCTGTATCCTCCTAACAAGAGCCTCTGAAGAGCACAGCTATACTCCCCCTCACAGATTTGAGTCTTTCACTTTCCACCCCGTGGCAGAATCACTGGTTTTCTGCGAGGACCACATGTTCTTCAATTACACCCCCCCCCCCCCCCCCCCCCCCCCCCCCCACACACACACACACACACACACACATATATTCCTGCTTCCTCTTCTGCTGGGTGTGGGTGTGTGTTCTGGGGATTAGAGGGAGCAAGAGAGAGAAGGCAGACCTCAGGAGAGTTAAGAGGATAACAAAGACAGAAAACACACGCATACAAGTCCAAGAAGGGCCACATTTACATGCACATGCAATTACTTACACACACATGCTCCTGACTGGCTGTTTCCATGGCTAATGGGAGCTAAGTCACAGCGGAGCAGTGACAAGGGGAAAGATGGTGTGCAGGCTGTCTTTCTAATTGCAGTGAAGCCATCAGGTCAGCAATTATTTAGTATAGGGAAAGGGAGAAAATCACTGTGGCATCACTAAAAGACTGCTTCTTGTGTTATTGACAAATACTCATTTTAATCTTAATGTTTCAAACAAAGTAGGTTGGATTAATTTCCTTTTTTCCCGTTTATGAGCAGTCATGGCATAATCTAGCAGTGATAAACTGTTCAATAGTTTATCAACAGTTTATCACTGCTAGATTATTCATGTAACTGAAAGAAAACAGTTTCATTCATTAGGGGACTGGATTCTCACTGCGATATCTTAATTTTTACCTCAAACAGCAATAAATATAAGATCAGTGATAACTTCCATCCATTTGTGTGAACACGAACACATCTGAAAGCCTCCATTGTTGGTTTTAACTGACACACACTGCTCCCTATATGAAACTGGTGCAGTTGTCCCCACAGGAAAGGGCTTGCTGTATTTTTATAGTGATATATAACAATGGCTCGCTAAATGCCATGTCACTTCTTTGAAAGCTTACATTCTTTTAAAGTTATTCTCGTACCTCCGCTACAAAGCAGAGTTATTGGAAAAGGGATTTGTGGCCATTTTTGTAATCAGTTGCAGGTTGCTCTACAGACAGTCAGTTAGTGTTGTACAGTGCTCTCCCCTTTCATCTGACAAGCAGTTTACAACAATAGAATGAAAGGTTACCTGGAGCTCATAGGTGTTTGATGCTGCACTGCTGTAAAGGTCAGCTTCTAATTGTAAGGTGTTCTGGGAAGATGCCGTCATTGCCCACAGATGCAGCAGCACTGAGCGCAAAAAAAGTAACACTGCTCTTTAATGTGCATCTAATAAATGAAAAGGCACCGTTATTACGTTTAATTACAAAGACTTGTTAACAACTTGCACGTACTTCAGTACCACGGAGAGCTCCGTCGCTGTAACCTTCATCCACCAGGGGTCGCACTTCAGCCAGGTTTTATCTGCGGAACCTTCAAACAAGCGCCTCTCCAAACACGGGAAGGGGGGAGTGGTATCAGTGTGACACACTCGCCAAATGTCAACAATGTGAAAAGAAGGTAATGAAACGAACTATCGCTACTGCCTTTAATCACTGTGTGGATTGTATCACGCCTGCTTGACTGTGCTCTGTTTTAACTGATTAATCGCGTTACGCCTGGTTTATTAGTCCGCTAAGCTGGCGACTGTTAGCTGCCTGCTCAATGTCAAGGTGGACTGTCACAGCTTCCTCAAATGTTGATGGCGTTTTGACTTACTTCATTAACTTCATTATGTTACAATCTATGACATATACGTTATTCTGCCTTAAAAACATCATTAGAAACTTAGATTTAAAAAGGGGCGTATTTTGCCTTGCCAGTAGATGTGAGTTGTAGAGTATTCACAGAAAAACACACTTTAGGGTTGGAGTGAGCGTGTGAGATCCTGCTTGCATAGCTTTATTTAAAGTTGATATTGTAGAAATGCGTGCAAGTGTACTAACTGTGAAAATGAATTTGCCAGATGACCTAGAAGAGTCTGATTACTCTGTCAGAGTGAGGCAGGGTGTAGTAAGTGTCCACATCCAAACTAAAAGCTTTCTGCAAAGAGGAAGTTGTTTCAAAAGCTTCTTTTTCTTTCAACATGGTTGTTGTTCATACGCAAAATTACAATTACTGGTTAAATACATCAATTTATATGGTGCACGTTTAACTAAACGTATCTAAACAAGCTAAACAATCCCTGACATGTCTTAATATAAGCGCAGTAAGGAGAGAACATTTAGAAGAATTGAACATGATTTAGTGAAATAGAGAAATAATTTTGTTTCGCCATTAATTTGCAATTAGAATCAGGTGACCCAGCATGGCAGAAAATAATCCTAGCAGGACACGATTTAGGATAGGACACACCGGATGTGTAGATGCTGGTTGTGGTGAAGATGAGGATGAAGGCTTGGCTGAGTGTCTGAGTGACTTGGGTGAGGTGAGGATGGGTATGAGGTAGGTCGCGTGGAAGTGATGTAAAGAATAGAAGAGCAGCCGAGCACCTAGGAAAGCAGGCAGATGAGTGATTACGGAGCTCATTGCACAGGCTGTACTGTAGTTATAAAATATAAAGTTTATATTATTTTACAGAAAAAAATGTTTGTTTTTTAAACCATCGACACACTATTTTAAAAACAGGCATTTGTATAGTAGATAGTGGAAAAATAAAACACAGGATGTGCCTCAACCTCCTGTGTTTGCATTTTGTATCCCCTACTGCCTCATTTGGCGTCCTCATTGGTGCCCTCCTGGGTACACACAGACCACAGAAGAGGAGAGTGAGAAGAGCAGATGAAGCTAAGACTTTTCTTGGAAGTGAGGGACTGGCTGATAAGTGACGTTGAGCATTTCTGGTTACCTGTGTTTAGCGAGTTTCCATGGAGAGGAATTTTTCTTCTATGTCCCTGCTTGGATACGCAGCGCCTGAGACCGTACTACCTCAGGAGGATTCATCCAGACTGCTGCTGTTTGGCCTTTTCTGGTTTGCACTGAACTGGAGATTGTTATTCATGGATTTATTTGGATTACTGTAATTCATTGTTCACTTGTACTCAAGTCACACTGTTGCTGAACAGCTGTACTGTACCCCATTAAATTCAGAGTATATTTTAAGATTCTGGTTCTGACTTTTAGAGCTCTTCCTGGACAAGCACCAGCTCGCATCAGTAAACATTTACACCCATTCATCCCCAGTGGGTCCCTGAGGTCATGTGATTAGGGCCTAGTTGTTGTGCATCATACAAGGCTGAAAACTAAATGAGATGGAGATTTTGCTACAGTGGCCCCCTAGACAATGGAAATCTTTCCCTCTGACCTGATCTATGGACTCAGTGATCGCCTTCAAGAAACTACTAAAAACTCATCTTTTTAGACTTGCTTTTTTATTTTTATGTATTTTTTTGATCTTTGATCTTTGTCGCAAAAGATGATACAGATAATACATTCTACTGACTTGCTTACTAAAAGTAAAAAATCCACACTCTACTTCACATCTTCAAGCCGTCCTGTGAACAGCTGCTGGAGGCTTTGGCCACCGGGCCTTATGTTTGAAATCTCTGGGCTCAGGAAATCTGTGATTCTAAATTAGGTGTAGATGTGAATGTGAGCGTATCCCTGAAACAAACTGGCAGCCTGTCGAGGCTCCAACCCAACCCTGAATTGGGTAAGCAAAAAAAACAAAAAAAGGATTTTAGTGTTATCACTGACAGTGCGTTTTTGTGTAGGCACAGATAGAGTGGTGCATACCTTTGTGGTATCAGGCAAGCCCAAAATCCAGAAGGATTGCTATTTGCTTCTATGCTGCCAACAACTGTGGCCAGAGGCATTTTGTTGTCTTTGTACATTCATCCTACTCATGTAAGCGCTTCAAACACTCAATCAAGGATAGAGTCATTACTCTTTTCATTGTCAAAGGTTGAGTTCAGTATGACCTCATAAAACCATTTTTTGACCTTTTACTTAAGAATTAATTTCCTAATTATGAGCAATTTCACACAGATGCCTATTAGAATGAAATCCCAAACTAATAACATTTTAGATCTAAATGTTGAGATAAACTACTCACTGAACTTTGGTCAAGAAAGTTAATTTAAAGTGAAATAAATGTTGGCTGGATTCCTGGCAGAGTGAGTGGTGAGTTGGCTGAGCAGTGGCTGGTGTTAATTTCCCTTTGGGCTCTTTACACACACAAACACGGACAGTAAAACAAAACTGCACTGTAGCTGTTTACTTCGTCCGGTGCTCAGCCTCAGAAAAACACCGCATCCTTTATCCTTTTCGGTGTTTCTGGAAGTGGATTTGGTGTCCCATTGACAAATTGTTAGAAGATCGGAACCTGAGTTTATTTTTTTCTTCTCTGGGGTTAGACTGTGCTCATCTGTGTGTGTGGTGTTAATCTCTTTTTATATTACATGCAGAGGTTTCCAGAAGAGGACTGTTTCTCATTGCTGTTGTTGAAAATACGCAGTTCTTTGAATCTTTGGGCTGAAGGAAGGACAATACTCGGTGTATCAATGCTCAATCAACAATCATTTATTTTCATACAATTCAACAGTCAGAGCATTACAACGTCCGGACGGGAGAGATGCTACCAGAGGGTCAGGCACATGTCTCAAAATGGTGACGGGTTGCTCAGCTTTTTATAGTCTCTAGTGGCCCCCAGCTAGTCGTAAAAGCCAAAACATCACATTTTTTTCTCTGTTACAGCGCCTAAGTTATGACCTCGGCAGTTGTTTCTCTGCTTTCTGTAAGGTGGGGGTGTGGAATGTGGTCTATCTATCTCCCCTGTCTTTAGACACAGAGTCTCCTGCTTACAACCTTCTCTTCATGATTCAACAATTAAGCATGTCAAGAAAACAGTGTAACACATTCCCAGCAGATCAAGGATACAGAGTGATGCACATTTATCTAATGAACTAATATGTGAATATGTTCTGTTAACTCAAAAGTATAATGAGAACTACACTACATACAGCTCACACACTCTATATTAAAGGGTATAATGTGATCTACAGCAGTATTCTAATTCAACTACTTTGATTACATATATAAGGTAACATATAATAACAGAATAATCTAATAATTCCCCCTTTTGATCTCTGAAAGAGATCACTTACAACATGCACTCCAGGGTCGCAAGGTCCAGGTTTTCTTGATCCTGAGGCCCTCTGTCCCCCTTTAACGGGTGGACCATATGTGGGATGACCTCTGTGTTCACGCAGTTCAGATGCAAGCAAAGTTAGATTTACAACCATAACAGCAGTTACAGATGACTCTCCCATCACTCCCCAATTCTCCCACAGCTTTATTTTGGTGCTCCAGTTTTCCACTCCCATTTTAATGCCACCTTATACCTTTCAAATGTACTTAGACTAGAACCTCTGTCTAAGGAGCTTTTAACCTTTATTTTTATTGCTGCAGCTACCAGTGTCTTCCAGTTGGGTGATTCTCAGCTTCTTTCTTCGACCTCCGGGGTTAGACCACCCTTTAGTCATTGCACAGTTCTGGGGATTATTCTGCCTCGATTTCAAACAAAGATCTGTGTGTTTTGGGTTCACCGGCGTGTCCCCCTTTTTGCCAAGAGCCTCTCGAACCTCGTTGGTCTGGTGTTCCTGGTTTTCGCCAACCCCTTCATAGTTATTGCTGTGTTTGTGAGATCCATCTTCTCCAGGAGCCCAAACGTCATGACACTTGACCCCAGTTGCTGTCTCGGCAGTCCCTACATCTGTCTCTGCTGTGAAGGGTCCTCACATCTCCGTGTCCCCGTCTGGTGTCTGTTCCTTTCTCTGCAAGAGACAGAAAACCAAAGCACCTCTCTCCCTAGCCTTGATAATCTAATATTGTTATCCATTGTTGTTCTAATGATTCAAATTTGGTTTAAAATATTATGTTCAGGACCTATTCTAATCATAATCTATGTGTGTGTAAAAGAAATCAAAAATTAGTGAACCCTTTCTAAGTCTAACACATTATAAGCTTAAGTTTTACCATAGCTAAATTATTAAACACAGAAATAACGTCATAAGATGTTCATAAAACCATTGTTTGATGTTCGGACTCAACTCCCCCTTTTTGACACACTCCCATGTGTCAGTTCATTGGAGCTAGACAATTGAAAGAGAAGGTTAGTAACATCATATCTCAGAAAGTATCAGAAATTCTTCTCTCGAGTACCGTTGCTCCAGCCTTGTCATCCCTGAGGATCTTCGATCCCGAAAATGTCCCTTCTCCTCATGTAATAAAGTCTGTCATCCTTCCATGCCCTGGTAACTGGTCCATCCAGAGCTGTAACATTTTGAAATGTACATACAACAAGCCAAACCACACCTTGGTCACACCAACCCTTTTCTGCCCCGAAGATGTCCAATGCCATCCTAGTATGGACTGTCAAAAGTGGCTTTAACGCTGACTATCCTGACAATCCATTTTATAACGTTTCCTGGTCAGATTTGCCAATCTCTGCACCAGGGTTGTAATAGTTTTGCAATTTTCATCAGTTTTTATTTTTATTTAGCTTCGACTTCAGATTTTCA